AGGTAGGTGCTGATCCTACCTGTATATGTGAGTATATCTCATGCTTTCACATATTTATCCTAAAAAGTCCACCCAACTTCTCTGTGGAATAGGAAAGGGATTATTTCCTTTGTTTTATAGGGAACTAAAGCAAAGAGAGCAGGTCTATAGAAATAGGTACAGGTAAACCAGGTGTAGGTAGGCTGTATTGGACTTTGAAGGCAGTAGAGAAAGCTGCACACCGATAAAGAACAATTCAGTAACCAGAAGTACTCCCTAGAGCTAAGCACAACAGTGTTATCTGCCTCTCTGTTATGCTTATGTGTTGGAAGCAGAATCTCACCATAATAATTCCTCCATTCCTGTGGAGGTGCAGACTCTGCACTGACATGCTTAACTGCGCGTGGTGCACCATTTCACAAAGTGATGCTTATATCAGATTCATTAAATTATTCAGCTAGGAAGTGAACAGATTACGCAAATAAGAGGGTTTGGTTTGGGGGTTTTTTTGTTTGTTTTTATTTTTTTTTTCAGTCGGAAAGGGACAAATCCAGACTTACCCTTTCTCTTTTGGGAACTGTACTCTAAGCTAAGTATGAAAATCATTTAAGAAACAATGATTATCACACTGTTTAACCAGCACTTATGGTCTCACTTAAACTGTTTTCTGCCAGTTCAGCTCAATTCAGAATAGCTAAGGGGCAGTTGCTGTCTTGAGATCCCAACTGAACGCTTGAAAAAATCTCAGCTCAGGGAGGCTGCATGCTAGACTCAAGCCTACAGTGAGCTCTCTGATCTTCAAATCTGATGAAACCTCGCGCTTGTCTGATCAGTATTCTTAAGGATTTTCCCATCGGGGTTAATTCCTCTGTTTTAGCCCCATACTCAGCCCAACTTTCAAAGGGGGCACAGAAAGGAGAGTCTCATCAGCCACTCGTTTTTAACGGATCCTTTCACCCTGTGCTTCTTTCCACAGCAGCCTTGCACTGCCTTTAATCATACAAATATCTCCATCATATATGGTATTTCATGTAGAAAAGTCTAAAGAGAAGTGCCTGTGCAAGAGAGCGTGGGAAATCGAGGGGAACCGGAGTCGGAAGAGGGGTGGACGAGCCGTGTCGGGGGAGGGAGGGAGATGAGGGGTTGGGGATGGAGGGAGAGGGCGGTGCGGGGGGACGGGGGTGTGTGGTGAGGGTGCATGTGCGTGGTTTGGGGAACAAAAATCGGCGTCGTTAGAAACGGACGTGACTTTTCTAGCGGGGATAGGTGCAGTCCGGCACTCGGGGCATGCAACCTGCCCTGACCAGCCTTTTCCCCGGCCGGGAGGGGGGCG